GAATCAATTAAAAACGGTTGGGCCAGTGGCTGTGGCTCGGCTTTGGGATAAGTGTCTTTCAGATTCCACAATGATCTTTAGTTGTGGACACTACATCACCGCACTCCCTCTCTTGCTCTTGGTCCTCATCTTTGTAAATCACCTTGATTTAGCACCTGTGTGTTTTATCAGTTTCTTATGAAAATATTTAGTGAACTCCATGACAGTAGCAAGGGGCTATTTGCAGCACACAAGTAGACTACAAATGTATGCGGGCCGGGCATGCCCTGAGCTGGTGATGTGAGTGCTACTGGAGCGAAATTGGAGCAGGCGAGAAGGTGAAGCTCCAGCCTTTGGGAATCTCGCTCCACACTCAAGTCAAATTGGGCACTCTCCGCTCCTCCTTCCGCTCCAGCTCCGCTCACATACTCTGATTCAGACTCACCTGGAAAAGTAAAGACTGTTGACCGCGTCTCTGGATCTCTCGTTTTGTTACTGTGAGAAGGGAAATAATATCAATACATTCAGTACATTAGATTGTTCTAGAGTCATCGAATCCTTTGAGAGCCTGATGATGACTAACATCAAAACACATAATAACCTACCTTTGTACCCCGGTCGACCAATCTTCACAAATTTCTTGACCTCAAACTTTCACCTTTTCGGGGGCTGGCTGGGCGGGAGCTTCTTTCGCTTCTTTGGCTGCTCTTCTCGCTCTGCATTCAACAAAACAGGGAAGTGAGCAACACCAAATATACACAATGCTTAAATGACACAAAAGTAGTAGTAATACATATGTACTTACAAATTCGTCTGATGCTTCTTCCCTGTGTATGGGCCAGGTAGCTGCCCTGTAAAGAGAAAACAACAATGGTTAAAATCTTGAATTAAAATGACAATTGATCATCATATAAAGAGTTATGTTAATATGAGCACTTCCTTACCTCATTGTTGTGGAGTGTCAGACACAGTTTACACTCATAAGAGCCCAGATGGTTCTTCATGAAATAGGGGTCCTTGTTGATGTCAATGGTCTCCAGGGCCAGCTGGCGGAGCCGCTCTCGCGCCGATCCCGGTGCTCTCTGAGGAGGACGCCACCCCCCGCTCCCCGTCTTGCCCCCAGCTCTGTGTTGGAAATCCATCTTTGCAGGGCAATGGATTCACTCACAGTCAAAACACTCCCCTCCACCTCTGGACAGCTGGGTCAAATACTAAACGTAGAAGTCTTCACTCTGGAGAAACATATTGGAAAAAAGTTTACATAATTTAAAGGTAACGTTACGTTTTCACTTGTGCATTTGGGAGCATAAATAGACAAAATACTTACTCTTTGGGAAAAAAATTAAGACTTCATTCATTCCAAATTATATAGAATTCAGCTTAGTTAGCTAGTAACATTCGCAGACCACGGCACCTACTAACTAGCAATTAGGGTGCAACTAGCCAACTATCTAAAGCTACTATTTAAACGTAGCTAGTTACATAAATGGTTACACCAAAAGCAAGAGGCCTAACAAATGCATGTAATAACAATATTATAAGACAACTAGCTATTTTATACACTGGGTTTTGGTGACAGGGTGGGTTATTAGCTAGCTATGCTGTGTTAGCTTTGTTGAGGTAACCGGCAAGGCAGCTACAATTTGAACGAACAAAACGGAACACCTTTTCATCTGTTTGCTGTAGTAAATGTCGGTGCATTAATCAAATTAATGGAATATCTTTATAGCTAATTTATCACAGAATTACTCGTTTTTAAACTCACCAATTCCTCAATGATTGCGTCACGCCGTTCTCAACGTAAACATTATTGCTCATGCGCATATGCAAAACTTCCGTTTAGTACATGTGTATAAACTTTATTGACAAAACTACACAACACACAGTTCAAAAACTATTTATTGTTGGTATATTTTATTAGTTTAGCAGAAATGTGAATATTTGAAGTCAAGCCTCTCTAAAATTCAAGAAGTCCGTTTGGCTATAATGTAAAGCTATAATGTTTCAAATGCGTATCTTTTCTTTCTTTGTTCTTCTTTTCCCCCGAGTTTATTTATTTATTGCATCACACGAACATTGTACAGAACAATATACTATATCACAATAACAATGACCAAAGAAGGTAAATACTAAATAAAGACAGACAGACAAAAAAATATATAATACACTATATAGTTACATTCTGACAAATACGTATACACTTCTATGATAATTTGCCAATTTATACCTTTCAGGGATGTTATATACAAAACGTAAATGAATTAGAAAAATATTGAACCTTAAAAAAAAAAACGAATTAACTTAATTTTCCCTATAAAATGAACAAGTTCACAATGTATTAGCAGTCACTTTGGCATTCACTGTGGGTGTATGTAAAAAATTAAAATAATACCACATTTGGTAATGCTTCAGGTTTACCCATCTTATCACTTATATTCAATACCGTTCAAAAGTTTGGGGTCACTTAGAAATGTCCTTGTTTTCATGAAAACATACATTAAATGAGTTTGAATAGGAAATATAGCAAAATGCATAGGAAATGTTGTCATTGACAAGGTTAGATAATATGATTTTAATTGAAATAATAATTGTGTCCTTCAAACTTTGCTTTCGTCAAAGAATCCTCCATTTGCAGCAATTACAGCTTGCAGACCTTTGGCATTCTAGTGTCAATGTTTAGGTAATCTGAAGAGATTTCACCCAGCTTCCTGAAGCACCTCCCACAAGTTGGATTGGCTTGATGCGCACTTCTTACGTACCATACGGTCAAGCTGCTCCCACAACAGCTCAATAGGGTTGAGATCCGGTGACTGTGCTGGCACTCCTTATAGACAGAATACCAGCTGACTGCTTCTTCCCTAAATAGTTATTGCATAGTTTGGAGCTGTGCTTTTGGTCAATTGTCCTGTTGTAGGAGCGCCGTCCACAGGGTATGGCATGGCGTTGCAAAATGGAGTGATAGCCTTCCTTCTTCAAGATCCCTTTAAACCTGTACAAATCTCCCACTTACCACCACAAAAGCCCCCCAGACCATCAAATTGCCTCACCATGCTGGACAGAAGGCATCAAGCACTCCTCCAGCATCTTTTCATTTGGTTGCGTCTCACAAATGTTATTCTGTCCAGTCTTCCAATCTTCCTCTGTCCAGTGTCTGTGTTCTTTTGCCCATCTTAATCTTTTATTTTATTGGCCAGTCTGAGATATGGCTTTTTCTTTGCAACTCTGCTTAGAAGGACAGCATCCCGGAGTCGCCGTGTTGACGTTGAGACTGGTGTTTTGCAGGTACTATTTAAAGAAGCTGTCAGTTGAGGACCTGTGAGGCGTCTGTTTTTCTCAAATTAGACACTCTGATGTATTTGTCCTCTTGCTCAGTTGTGCACCGGGGCCTCCCAATCCTCTTTCTATTCTGGTTTAGAGCCAGTTTGCGCTGTTCTGTGAAGGGAGTAGTACACAGCGTTGTACGAGATCTTTCAGTTTCTTGGCATTTTTCGCATGGAATAGCCTTCATTTCTC